CAGAGGAGGGCGACTAAAATGATCAAGGGTCTGGAGAACAAGCCCTATGAGGAGCGGCTTAAGGAGCTGGGCATGTTTAGCCTGAAGAAGAGAAGGCTGAGAGGAGATGTGATAGCCATGTATAAATATGCGAGAAGAAGCCACAGGGAGGAGGGAGCAAGCTTGTTTACTGCTTCCATGGAGACTAGGATGCGGAACAGTGGCTTCAAACTACAAGAAAGGAGATTCCATCTGAACATGAGGAAGAACTTCCTGACTGTGAGATCCGTTCAGCAGTGGAACTCTCTGCCCCGGAATGTGGTGGAGGCTCCTTCTTTGGAAGCTTTTAAACAGAGGCTGGATGGCCATCTGTCAGGGGTGATTTGAATGCAATATTCCTGCTTCTTGGCGGGGGGTTGGACTGGATGGTCCATGAGGTCTCTTCCAACTCTTTGATTCTATGATTCTATGATATTTGTGTATATGTGTATATATGTGTGTTTGCGTGTATATGTGTGGTTTTACGCATGCGTTGTAATGTATTTTTTATTTTTTGGCTTTTTAAGTATCTTCTGGTGTGTTTTTCAGTGTTTTTATTAGTGACAGTCACTAATTGGCCTTATAGGTATATTGTATCCAAATTTGGTGTCAATTCGCCCAGTGGTTTTTGAGTTATGTTAACCCCACAAATGAACATTATATTTTTATTTATATACACTAGCTGTCCCCTGCCACACGTTGCTGTGACCCAGTCTGTATATATGTGTTTTGTGTGTGTATATCTATGTATTTTTTATTTTTTGGCTTTTTAAGTCCCTTCCACTGTGTTTTTCAGTGTTTTTTATGAGCAAGGGTCACTCATTGGCCTGATAGGTGTATTGTGTCCAAATTTGGTGTCGATTTGCCTAGTCAATTTGCCAATTTGCCCAATTGTTATGTTAATCCCACAAACAAATATTACATTTTTATTTATATAGATATAATGGGACTTGAGCATCCACAGGCTTTGGTATCCTGGGACCAGCAATCCCCAGGAGATGCCAAGAATCTACTGTACAGTAAGAGCAATGGGGTCCCTTAGGAGTGAAAAGGCTGCCGCAGCAAAAGTGAGAAAAGGATGAGAGAAACCCGATCTACTTCTTGGCCCTGCCATGGCCTAATTTAGAGCCCTCCCTGCCACGGTTGATGAGCTTTTCCATCTGGCTCTCCTTCTCAAGGAGCTGCTCTCACAGAGGCTTAAGAGACAGAAAAATGCCCCTGGAATTCTGATATCACACCCCATCGACATTTGCAGTAAGGGTGCAGAGAATAGCTGATCATTTCCTGCTCTTTGCTGACAAAAGGTGCTTCAAAATGCCAGGATTATTCCCTAGGAAATTTTAGATGGCACAAATATTCAAATTGTTCAATTTTCTGTGTGTTTGTGGACCACACTTCCTGCTCAACCCATGTGAGATTTGCCCATGTCATGAGCAATCAATTGTTCTCAAAAACCACACTAAATAGTTCTCAAAGAAGTTCTCATAGTTGATTCTTTCTTCTTGCTAAATAAAAATACAATACATGAAGATTTAAATCCCCATTAAAAGTTAGTGTTGTCTATGGTTGAAGTGTTTGACTATAACTCTAAGAACCAGGGTTGAAATCAAAGTGCCTGGCACATAACTGTGTTGGGGAAAACAATTGCAGCTCAACACTTCAGAGGAGAAAATGCTATATGATTGTATATATAGCCTTCTCAAGCCCTAATCACCATCTAATAGCGTTGTTGTTGTGCATTTTCTGAGCTGTATGGCCATGCCCCAGAAGCATTCTCTTCTGACATTTCACCCAGTCGCTTCCGAATCTTCGTGACCTTCTAGACCAGCCCAGGCCAAAACTCCCTGTTGGCCGTGGCCACCCCATCTCCTTGCATGCTGGTCGCTTCTGTGGCGAGAGAATCAGCCGTCTATGAAGACATTGCCCAGGGGACGCCCGGATGTCTTGCAATCCTGTGAGGAGGCTTCTCTCATGTCTTAGTTTTCTAAGATTATGTCTTAGTTTACTAAGATCATGTCTTAGTTTTCTAAGATCTACAGAGACATTTGCAGGAACACTTCAGCAAGCGAGAGTCCAAAAGTAGCAGGCTCAAACCCAGAACCTCAACCAATGGCTGATACCAAATGAGAGACTCTCCCCCTGGGCACACAGAGGACTGGGCAGCTTGGAAGGCATTGAACAGACTGTGCTCTGGCACCACAAGATGCAGAGCCAACCTTCAGAAATGGGGCTACAAAGTGGAATCCACGACATGCAAGTGTGGAGAGGAGCAAACCACTGACCACCTGCTGCAATGCAACCTGAGCCCTGCCACATGCACCATGGAGGACCTCCTTGCAGCAACACCAGAAGTACTCCAAGTGGCCAGATACTGGTCAAAGGACATTTAATCAACTACCAAACTCATAAATTTTGTATTTTGTCTGTTTGTTTGCTTTGTTCTGTTAGAAATGTAATATAATTGACTGGTTGCCCTGACACGACAAATAAATACCCCATCTCCTTCAAGGTCAAGCCAGTCACTTCAAGGATACCATCCATTCATCTAGCCCTTGGTCTGCCCCTCTTCTTTCCATTTTCCTCAGCATCATTCTCTTCTCCAAGCTTTCCCATCTTCTCTTTATGTAGCCAAAGTACATCATCTTTGCCCCAAATCTCCTTCCCTCCAGTGAGCAATCAGGCTTTATTTCCTGGACTGGTTGGATCTTCATGTGGTTCAAGGCACTCAACATTTTCCTCCAACACCACAGTTCAAAAGCATCTTTCTTCCTTCACTCATCCTTCCTTATGGTCCAGCTCTCACATCCATAGGTTACTATGGGGAATACCATTGCTTTGACTATGCGGATCGTCATTGCCAGTGTGATGTCAGCCGTGGCCACCCCAGCTTCTTCAAGGTCAAGGCAGTCACTTCAAGGATACCATCCATCCATCTAGCCCTTGGTCTGCCCCTCTTCCTTCCATTTTCCAAAGCAACATTCTCTTCTCCAAGCTTTCCTGTCTTCTCATGATGTGCCCAAAGGACTTTATCTTTGCCTCTTATATTCTTCCCTCCAGTGAGCAGTTGGACATTATTTCCTGGAGGATAGACTGGTTGGATCTTCTTGCGGTCCAAGGCACTCTCAGCATTTTCCTCCAACCCCACAGTTCAATCTATTTGCATACACTTCTAATGATATGCCCCGTTGACTCTATATCTGTAAAGTGACAATCCCAATGGCTAATTTAAGAGTCTCTCAGATTCATATTCTCTCAGCATCACAGGGTAATGAATGGTGAATCACTTCTGAACAAATTTTGCTGAGAAAACCCTGTGATAAGTTCACCTTATCTTTTCTACTTTTCCCAAGAGAATGGGCTGAAATCATAAGGAGCCCTTTTCATGCATCATTCTAAGACACATTGCTGGAGTTCTTAAAAGCATCCAGTATGGGTGTGCGTGTAGTTTTTCTCTCAGGCCCACACATCTGACAAGGGTAAATTCAAAGAAGTGGATGGAAAAAACACCAAAGGTCATTAGATGGTATCTGCACATGAAAGATGTCCTAGCACAGCATTTCTCAACTTGGGGGTCGGGACCCCTGGAGGCATCACAAGAGGGTCTCAGTGGGGTTGCCAATGACCATCAGAAAAAACAGTATTTTCTGTTGGTCATGGGGGTTCTGTGTGGGAAGTTTGGCCCAATTCTATCCTTGGTGGGGTTCAGAATGCTCTTTGATTGTAGGTGAACTACAGCTCCCAAATGTTAAGGTCTATTTTCCCAAAACTCCACCCATGTTCACATTTGGGCACATTGAGTATTTGTGCCAAGGTTGGTCCTGAGACATCATTGTTTGAGTCCACAGTGCTCTCTGGATGTAGGTGAACTACAGCTCCAAAACTCAAGGTCATGCCCACCAAACCCTTCCAGAATTTTCTGTTGGTCATGGGGGTTCTGTGTGGGAAGTTTGGTCAAATTCTATCCTTGGTGAGGTTCAGAATGCTCTTTGATTTTAGGTGAACTACAACTCCCAGATGTTAAAGTCTATTTTCAAAAATTCCACCCATGTTCACATTTGGGCACATTGAGTATTTGTGCCAAGGTTGGTCCTGAGACATCATTGTTTGAGTCCACAGTGCTCTCTGGATGTAGGTGAACTACAGCTCCAAAACTCAAGGTCATGCCCACCAAACCCTTCCAGCTAGACCCAGAGGTGGCCCTAGGTAATTTTCAATGGTAAGCAAACAGTATTTTGGCACCGCCCCCCCCCCAACCAATCACTGATATATATTTTCTGTTCGTCGTGGGAGTTCTGTGTGCCATATTTGGTTCAATTCCATCATTGGTGGAGTTCAGAATGCTCTTTGATTGTAGGTGAACTATACATCCCAGTAACTACAACTCGCATATGTCAAGGTCTATTTTTCCCCCAAGAGCACCCCTGGGCAAAATCAACTATACTGCAAATGCTTACTTTGCATAATGGGTTGAGCCGCCCCTGGTTATGGGGGTTCTGTGTGGGAAGTTTGGTTCAAGTCCATCATTGGTGAAGTTCAGAATACTCTTTGATTGTAGGTGAACTATAAATCCCAGCAACTACAATTCCGAAATGACAAAATCAATCCCCCCACTGCACCCCACCAGTATTCAGATTTGGGCATATCAGGTATTTGTGCCAAATTTGGTCCAGTGAATGAAAATACATCCTGTATATCAGATATTTACATTACGATTCACAAGAGTGGCAAAATCACAATTATGAAGTCGCAACAAAATAATGTTATGGTTGGGGGTCCCCACAACATGGGAAACTGTATTAAGGGGTCACGGCATTAGGAAGATTGAGAACCATTGTCCTAGCGAGTGCTGCTCAGGTAGCACACCTGGCTGAGTTGCAGAGGACATCTATCTTGCTTTGCTTGGCCTCTATCTTAGGGGAAGGAAACCAATCAGAAATATGGGAATGCCACTAAGTTTGAGAAAAAATAAGATATTATTTATTTTGCCATGGCTGTGTAAGAAAGACAAAAAATGGTATTTACCATTGAGAAATGGCAGCTGTCCTGACATAAGCAAGTCCTAGATTTGCATCAAGTGTGAGAATTCTAGAGTTCCAGCAAAAACAGTTATATGTACAATATCTATGGCAAGAGCTGACCTCTTTGTTTCTGCTCGTGGCAAGAATTTGCAATTGCACCAACATCTTCCAGTGGTTCACGATCAGCCCTATTTCCCCTTCCCTTCTGGTAGTGTTTAGATAAATATCATTAAGGCTTAGCAATGAGATCCTCAGCAAATGGGACACTTCCCTCTCTCTTTGTGGGCCAAAATGGCAGGGCTAGGTTTAGTTCCTGTCCTGCTTTTGCTGCTTCAGAGCTTGCAGGAAGATCTCCTTCACCTGGCCCACGGTCTCCTGGTATACTCGGAAGTCGTCCTCTTTGGTCTTCATGGTGGCTTGCAAAACACGCTTCAGGCCTTCATTCTCATCCATTTGGATCGCAAGCCTAGGTAGACATAAACAGGTTTATGAGTCCGATGCATTGATACCGAAATAGGGAACACCCTCCTCTTTTCTAGGCATTTTAATCATGGAATGTGGCCTACTTGCTTTGACCAGTGTGAGCTATCAGATGGATTAGTTCTACTCTGTAGACAAACTGCTTTGGTCTTTCCCTCACCAATAAAAAAAAGACCACACATGTTGCCATGAGAGTTGTGCAAAGCTTCGGAGGTCCATTTCGTAATTCAGAGATTGGTAAAGGTTTCCCCTTGACATTAAGTCTAGTTATGTCCAACTCTGGGGGTTGGTGCTCATCTCCATTTCTAAGCTGAAGAGCTAGCGTTGTCCATAGACACCTCCAAGGTCATGTGGCCAGCATGATTGCATGGAGTGCCCTTATCTTCCCACCAAAGCGGTACCTATTGATCTATTCACATTTGAATGTTTTCAAACTGCTAGGTTGGCAGAAGCCGGGGCTAACAGCAGGAGCTCACCTCACTCCCCGGATTCGAACCACTGACCTTTTGGTCAGCAAAAGCGCCTTGAGTTGCCTTTGGGCTGAGAAAGGCAGTATATAAATATGGTAAATAAATAAAATAAATAAGTTCCACAGGTAAGCGGTTTAACCCGCTGCAGCACCGAGTTAAGCACAAATCTCTGAATTACTAATTAGAAAGTTTAAAAAATCCTAAAAATCAGTGGATGACCAAAACATTCTGAAACTTAAGAGGCTTAAAGTTGCAAATGTTGGCTACAAGTGTGCCAAGTTTCGTCATGATAGCCATAAAACTGATAGACATTCCCCATTGCCACTAATGGAACACATCTTAACAAAACAATCCGGAAGCTGAGGAGATGCGGATATCAAAATGAGACCTTTTCAAATATTTATGAAACACCCGAATTCCTAAAATGAATTATAAATCAGATTTCAGCCACTTCGCACACCTCTACTTGCCATGTCAAAGCTATAGTTGCACATTTGCAAGCAGATGCATGAAAGCATTCACATGGTTACCAAGAAGATACGGTTTTATCCTACTTGGGGTCAAGATATCTGAAATACTATCTTCTCCATAAAAGCCTCCTTGAAATGAAAACCCACAGCTCAGATGTTGTGTGCCCCGCCACACACACAGGGTCCACGTAGCAGGGCTTTCCTTGTGGTAGCACCCCAAGCATGGAGCTTTGACCCAAGACAGGTCAACCTGGCTCCATCCCTTCTGAGTTCCTGGCAGACAGTTAAGGCGGCTGGGTTACATTGCTTGGCCTTCTGTCTTTAAACTGAGACGGCTGTCTGAACTGTCTGCACCTTGAAAACAATACTTAAAGAAGGTGGTTGAAATCTGTATTCAAATGTTTGCTTTCATGCCTTTAATGCTTTGAATTGTTTTATTCTAGAACTAGTGTGGCATAGTGATTTGAACACTAGAGCAAACTCTGGAGACCAGGAGTGGAGACCCAGCTCAGACAGATCTTAGCAAGCAATCCTATGATGAGTTTACCTTCAGGTCACTGGAAGTTAGAAATGACTTGAAGGCACATAACAACAACAACAACAACAACAACAACAACAACAACAACAACAACAACAACAACATTCTGGGGCAGAGAGTTAGACTGCAGTCCCTATAGCTCAGGCATGGGCAAACTTGTGGGAGCTGAAGGCCAAAACACCTAGAGGGCTCAAGTTTGCCCATATCTGCTATAAGTCCTCATCACTTCCGATGGTGACCAATGCCAATTAGTGTTCTTGTCCAGTAACACCAGGAAGACTTGTAAAAAATCAGTTGGTGAGTGTGTTAACTGAAAAATGCAGAGCATGAAGCTGATTGGTTGTAACTAGCTGAGCCTGGGAGTTTTGGCAACAGTCACGTTTTTAAGCTGTTAGCTGTGCAGATGTTTGCAGAGAGAGAGTTTTGAATCCTTGTTTCATGAGCTCCTGGAAGGAGATCTTCCACATGGACATCTAAAGACCAATTTGTTGCACTCCAGAACAGGTGAAAAAAACACTTTAAAGGAATAGGTAAATCCAATTAGGTAAAAAGATAAGCAGAAACAAATTAGTCCAAGGTAGAGTTCGGCAGTGTCCAAAAACAAAGTCCACAACTCTATAACAAAATCCAAAGAACCAGGAAATGTTGATCCAAGGCATGAGCAGGTAATTCCAAGAGACAAAAACCAAATCAGGGTACAAAAAATCCTTAAGCATGAATTTTCCAGGCAAGGCTTCTATGAGACAAGGACTTAGCAGGATTCTAAACGATGCTTCATCTGACTATATTTTCCATGCTTGGAACTTTTAAGCCTTTCCAAGCACTCAGAAAATGGTTTCGCTTTCCTTGAGTGGCCCTTATCTTTTTCTCTTTGAAGCCTGGCAGAACGCCCAAGGCCTTGCTCGGCCTGTCTTTTAACTAATTTCCGCTCTCCTATCTATATGCTCATTAGTTTCTGCAGGTGCTGAGTTGTTTTCAAGCCCCAAATCCTGGGAACTCTCTGGGAGCAATTCAGGGAGTAAACCATCATCCCTATACCCCGTAGGAGCAGGTGTCTTTCTGTCATTCTCTGCATCAATATCACTGACAAAACCATTGCCATTTTGAACCTCATTTACCTCATTCCTCACATTTAAAGCATCCTGATCCAGAAACACAATCACAGGCTGAACTCCAACAAATTTAAATCTCTCTCAAATGACATTGTGTGAGTCAATGCAACTGTTCACATGACTGTATATATGTTGCTCTGCATTACAAAGAGTAAACTTCTTGTTGTTTACTGATCGCCTATGTGCCAAGTTTTCTTTCTCTGGCAAGACAGTGTGTGGACTGGTAAAATGTGAACTACGCATGATTTTCATTGCACCACAGACTGCACATTGCAACCGTGCCTTCTTCCTGAAGGCTTCCTCCTGAGAAACAATCTCCTGAAACCTGGTAAAGATGAATTAAAAGAACTAGATCCTACCTAGTGGAAAGTTCTTCTATTTGGGATTCCAGAGGCACTTCTGAAAGCAGTGCGGATGGAGTTTCCTTCCTATCGCCCATATTCCAGCTCTGTCGCATATTGCTGGGCAGCTGAGTTGCAGATACAGCAGGGCCCGTCACTTAAAAAAAATACAAAAATTTTGCTCATATTTCAAACCTAGCTAGGTTCCTCTATTCCAGTGGTTCTCAACCTTCCTAATGCCATGACCCCTTAATACAATCCCTCATGTTGTGGTGACCCCCAACCATAATATTGTTTTCGTTTGCTACTTCATAACAGTCATTTTACTACTGTTATAAATCATAATGTAAATATCTGATATGCAGGATGCATTTTCATTCACTGGACCAAACTGGGCAGAAATACCCAATACACCCAAATGTGAATGCTAGTGGGGTTGGGGGAGGATTGATTTTGTAATTTGGGAGTTGTAGTTGCTGGGATTTGCTGGGATTTGTAATCAAAGAGCATTCTGAACTCCACCAGCAATGGATTTGAACCAAACTTGGCTCCCATGACCAATGGAAAACACTGGAAGGGTTTGATGGGCATTGACCTTGAGTTTGGGAGTTGTAGTTCACCTATATCCAGAGAGCACTGTGGACTCATGCAATGGTGGATCTGGACCAAACTTGGCACAAATACTCAATATGCCCAAATGTGAACACTGGTGGAGTCTGGGGAAAATAGATCTTGACATTTGGGAGTTGTAGTTGCTGGGATTTACAGTTCATTACAATCAAAGAACATTCTGAACTCCACCAATGAGAGCATTGGCTCAAACTTCCCACATGGAATCCCCATGACCATCAGAAAATACTGTGTTTTCTGATGGTCTTTGGCGACCCCTCTGACACCCCCTCGCGACCCCCTCAGGGGTCCCGACCCCCAGGTTGAGAAATACTGCTCTAGTCAGTGTAATCAACATCATGATTTTTGTTTTGTTTTGTTGTTTTTGTTGTTGTTTTTTTGCAATAGGCATCTATTAGCCACCCACTGCCTTGAAGATAGCTATGGTCTGCTCATCTCTGATTTTGATGAGTTTATGGGTTTCAGGAGGAGGAAATGCCCTGGAAAACAGCATATCATTGTGCCCACAGAATGGAAAGGATTCCATAGCACACACTGCTCTTTCTAATCCAGGTTAACCATTTGGGGAAAACAGACAGGAACATAGGAGGTCAACCATTTTGAGGTTTGTTCTCCGTCGCTCCAAAGGTAGACTCGGTTCTCATGATTTTAATTACATAAGGGCAATTCTGACTGGACATGAGAAGGAACCTCTTGACAGTAAGAGCAGTTCAGCAATGGAACCTATGGATAGATGGTTGAATCTCCTTCTCTGGAGTTTGCAAAAAGAGGATGGGGATGCGTTCACTGGAGACCCTGCATTGAGCAAGGGATTGAACCCGACGCACTATGAGTTCCCTTTCAACTCTGATTGCATGAAATGACACTCCAGTGACTTTCTATACTGTTGTTGGAAGCTGATGCAGACTGCAACAGGTCATGGGATCCCAAAGTTAAGTCTTGGTTCTCTGGATACACAAGAGATCCATCTGTGATGTCGGGCTTAAACCAGGTATGGGAAAAGTTCATCCCTCCAGGTGTTTTGGACTTCAACTCCCACAATTCCTAACGGCCAGTAGGAATGCAGAACACAGAAATGCTGGACCACTCTAGCAACCACCTTGTCAGACTACACAATGAAGATGTTGAAATCCACAAGCATGTGGGCAATTTCAACAGAAAGGAGGAAACCATGAAAATGTACAAAATCTGGCTACCAGTAATAAAAAAAACCCTCTAAAATCAGGACAGTAAACATAAAGCAACACTCAAAAAACATGGGAATTCCAGACAAGCATCAATCAGTGCCAGTTAACACCTCCCAACAAAGGATCCCCCCAGCAGCAACCAGCCAGGCTTTAAAGCTCAAAGGCCATTCAATGCTAATCAAGATGGCCAATTGCAACATTCACATTTGCCTCCAACTAAAGGATGCCTCCAGGCAGCAACAGCAAGGCTTTGAAACTGCAAGGCCATTCAATGATAATCAAGGTGGCCAATTGCAACATTCACACTTGGCTCCATCAAAGGATGCCTCCAGGCAGCAACAGCTAGTCTTTGAAGCTGCAAGGCCATTCAATGATAATCAAGGTGGCCAATTGCAACATTCATACTTGCCTTCAACAGAGGATGCCTCCAGGCAGCAACAGCCAGGCTTTGAAGCTGCAAAGCCATTCAATGAGAAAAAAAGGTGGCCAGTTGTAACCTACACACTTGCCTCATACAGACAAGAGTTCTTTCTCCCATCCTGGTTATTATTCCACAGATACATAAACCCCACTTGCCTAGTTTCCCACAGTCTTCACAACCTCTGAGGATGCCTGTCATAGATATGGGTGAAACATCAGGAGATAATGCTTCTGGAATATGGCCAGACAGCCCAGAAAACTCACAGCAACCCAGGCAGTAGGCTGTTTGCAATTGTGGGAGTTGAAGTCCAAAACACCTGGAGGGATGAAGTTTGCCCATGCCAAGCTTAAACTCTTCGACTGCTCAAAGAAATTTGGTAAGAAGTAGTCCATGTTACCTGCTTTGCTCTTTCCGTGGGTTTTTGCAGAGCCCGTACTCTTTCCCAACTCAATTTTCAGTTTTTCAACCTGCTGCTCCAGAGCACTGCACTTGCGCTGCTGTTCCTGGAACTTCTTTTCCGCTTCCCAAACCTTAGTAGTGCTCTCATCCACCCTGGCATTCAAAACAGAAGAATTTGGCACATTTTTTTTCAAATACTATGCTTCTGGCACAAATCTCCATGATATTTTCATTTATGCGCAAGCAAGGATGGATCCATGTTTCCTCCAAAGAGTGATTTGGGGGAAATGGGCAAACACATGCTTAGGGAGATACATTTCACATTCAGGAGCTTATCACCTTTTTTGTATGACGCTGACCATTTCGATCAACCTGTCACGCTCCATTTCAGCTGCTTGGCAAAGAGTCTTGTATTCGGCAACCTGGATTTTTAGGGGTTTCATATCTGGATCATCGGGATTGGCGACCCTAAAGAAGTGGAAAGGTTTGGGTTAACTTATATTGGTTTCACATCTTATGTAATTTATTTTCTGATTTTCTGTTATGTTTTTGTGTTTATATTGTGTTTACTGTATTGATGGGTGTGGCCTCATGTAAGCCACCCCGAGTCCCCTTGGGGAGATGGAGGCAGGGTATAAATAAAATGTTATTTATTTATCATCATCATCGGGCACCGGGATTGTGGCGCAGCTGGCTGAGTGTCAGCTGCATTAAGATCACTCTGACCAAAAGGTCATGAGTTCGAAGCCAGCCCGGGTTGGAGTGGGCTTCCAACCAATTGTGTAGCCTGTTGTCGACCTTTGCAACCCGAAGACAGTTGCATCTGTCAAGTAGGAAAATTAGGTACCACCTTAAAGTGTGGGGAGGCTAAATTAACTAATTTATGAGGCCATAAAAAAGACTCCAGCAAAGCACTCCAGCAAAAAGCATGCGGGGAATGCGGAAGTACTTCATCAGTGTCACAGATGGACAATGAAAGCGACAGCTCCCCTGGCAGCCAGAAAAAGTTAAATAGCCTCTGTGTATGTCTGTATATGTTTGTATGTCAAAAATTGGCATTGAATGTTTGCCATATATGTGTACACTGTAATCCGCCCTGAGTCCCCTGCGGGGTGAGAAGGGCGGAATATAAATACTGTAAATAAATAAATAAATAAATCATCATTATTGGAGGCAAATGTGAATGTTGCAATTAATTATCTTGATTAGCATTGCAAAGCCTTGCTGCTTCAAGGCCTGGCTGATTCCTGCTTAGGGGAATCCTTTGTTGGGAGGTGTTAGCTGGCCCTGATTGTTTCCTGTCCAGAATTCTCCTGTTTTCAGATTGCTGCTCTTTATTTACTGTCCTGATTTTATAGCTTTTTAATATTGGTAGCCAGGTTTTGTTTATTTTCATTGTTTCCTCCTTTCTGTTGAAATTGTTCACACGTTTGTGGATTTTGATGGCTTCTGGAACATGGCCATACAGCCCAGAAAACTCACAGCAACCCAGCTGTTATGAAAAGTGGAAGCTGAAGTCCGAAACACCTGGGGAGGCCTAAGTTTGCCCCTGCCTGCCTTACCGGTTGAAACTACAGCATTGCTTTAGATGCAAGAAGCACCGTGCAGAGTCCATTGACCCACTTTCATTCACTTGCTAGTTCAGTCTTGCAAACAGATCCCGAGCCAAAGCCTCCCTCTGAGCAAAGAAAGGAGCTTAGTGATCATGATGCAGGAGTAGAGTGCTTGGGCAACACTGCCACAATGTGGCCACCGATGTATTACAGTTATAATATGTAATTATAGGAGTTACATATGATAATTGTGTCCCATCCAATCTCAGGGGAGCAAAGAGCCTGCAGCTATTTCAGTAGCCGTTGATCTAAATTTTGCAAGGATCAGGGATAGTAAAGGTAAACGTTTTCCCCTGACATTAAGTCAAGTCGTGTCCGACTCTGGGAGTTGGTGCTCATCTCCATTTCGAAGCCAAAGAGCCAGTGTTGTCCGTAGACACCTCCAAGGTCATGTGGCCAGCATGTCTGCATGGAGCGCCGTTACCTTCCCGCTGGAGCAGTACCTATTGATCTACTCACATTTGCATGTTTTCGAACTGCTAGGTTGGCAGAAGCTGGGGCTAACAGTGGGAGCTCACTCCACTCCCCAGATTCAAACCTGCAATCTTTTGGTTAGCAAGTTCCGCAGCTCAGCACATTAACCCACTGCACCACCAGGATAGGGAAGAGATAAGACAAAAATACCATGCGAAGGCAAACACAAATTTTCAGACAGCCCACGAGACAGACAGATTGAACAGACCTCCCAGGAGAAGCAGTGGATGGAAAGGAAGTCGCTGCCGAATCCACAAGGGTGTGCCCCATCGTAGACACCTTCTTCCTAGGAAAGAGAAAAACTTCCTCAATCTTTTTTTACAGCACCGTGTGTGTATAACCCACACCTCCTGCACTTTTGGTGTGAGCTGCCACTTATTTGAAGAAGTTGGAAATCTCTTTGCACAGTAGCCTCTAGCATCCCCCTTCTTGGTCTTTCCATACTGAGTGGGGATTCTGGGAACTGTAGTTCTCACAGACCAAACAGACTAAAGGTGCATCTACAGCAGGCATGGGCCAACTTTGGTCCTCTCTCCAGGTGTTTTGGACTTCAACTCCCACAATTCCTAACAGCCGGTAGGCTGTTAGGAATTGTGGAAGTTGAAGTCCAAAACACCTGGAGAGAGGACCAAAGTTTGCCCATGCATGGTCTATAGAGTAGAACCAATCCATCCATCTGATAGGAAGGAAACAATATTTTGGAAGATTTTCTTTTCCTTACCCTGCAGAACCATTCCTTCCAATGAAGCCATCCTTCTTGGATGCTGAAATGCAATCCCCTTCTTCTAAAGATTCTGCAGACATTTCTGAATCAGGACTGGTATTTTCATCTGTATGATGAACATGATGCTGGCATAAAAATATAAACCAAATCCGATATTATACAATTTTTTTTCTGTCTCAACCAAGCTCATTGTTATTGTATTTCTGCATTGTTTTATTGTATTATTATGTTTTGTTTATTTTATTGCGATGTTTGTTCTGTTTCTTGGTTTTATTTTGTTGTAATGCACTACTGGGCTTGGCCTCATGTAAGACGCCCCGAGGGGAGATGGTGGCGAGGTATAAATAAAGATTATTATTATTATTATTATTATTATTATTATTATTATTATTATTATTATCTGGCCTCCCCTTTGCTTTCACCATTGCTAAACTGGACCAAGAGAGGGTACTTTTAATTATACGTTGCATGCACTGCAATGCTTTTGCATCTGATACGTAGCAACTGTGTTCCATTAAGTGTGTTGTTAGCATGGGGGTGTATTTACTCTTTCTTTGGTAGTAGTAAGTTACAACAGTAAGTAATAATGGCATGTTTCTTTCCAAGGCAAACAGCAGTGAGAAAGAGCCACAAAGAGAGCCATATTGGCATGGAGACATTGTGAGACTCTCTCACATCTGGATAAGGGAGAAAGGGGAGGGGAAGGAAGGAAAAGGAAGGAAGGAAGGAAGGAAGGAAGGAAGAAGAAAGAAAAAAGAAAGAAAGAAAGAAAGAAAGAAAGAAAGAAAGAGAGAAAAAGGGAAGAGGGAGAAAGAAAGAAGAAAAGAGGGGAAGGAAGGAAGGAAGGAAGGAAGGAAGGAAGGAAGGAAGGAAGGAAGGAAAGGAAGGAAGGAAGGGAAAGAAGGGATGAAAACAGGGGGGCAGAAGGCTCTCTGATACCCAGGCAATGCCAGGTAGATATTCTAGTTTCCTATATAATTTGTTGTTTATTTGTTCAGTCACTTCTGACTCTTTGTGACCTCCTGGACCGTCCAACGCCAGAGCTCCCTGTTGGCCATCACCACCCCCAGCTTCTTCAGAGTCAAGCCAGCCACTTCAAGGATGCCATCCATCCATCTTGCCCTTGGTCGGTCCCTCTTTCCTTTTCCTTCCATTTTCCCAAGCATCATTGACTTCTCTAAGCTTCCCTTTCTTCTCATGATGTGGCCAAAGTACTTCATCTTTGCCTCTACTATCTTCCCCTCAATGAGCAGTCGGGCTTTATTTCCTGAAGTATGGACTGGTTGAATCTTCTGGCGGTCCAAGGCACTCTCAGAACTTTCCTCCAACACCATAGAATCATAGAATCAAAGAGTTGGAAGAGACCTCATGGGCCAGCCAGTCCAACCCCCTGCCAAGAAGCAGGAATATTGCATTCAAATCACCCCTGACAGATGGCCATCCAGCCTCTGTTTAAAAGCTTCCAAAGAAGGAGCCTCCACCACACTCCGGGGCAGAGAGTTCCACTGCTGAACGGCTCTCACAGTCAGGAAGTTCTTCCTCATGTTCAGATGGAATCTCCTCTCTTGTAGTTTGAAGCCATTGTTCCGCGTCCTAGTCTCCAAGGAAGCAGAAAACAGTTGCTCCCTCCTCCCTGTGGCTTCCTCTCACATATTTATACATGGCTATCATATCTCCTCTCAGCCTTCTCTTCTTCAGGCTAAACATGCCCAGTTCCCTAAGCCGCTCCTCATAGGGCTTGTTCTCCAGACCCTTGATCATTTTAGTCGCCCTCCTCTGGACACATTCCAGCTTGTCAATATCTCTCTCGAATTGTGGTGCCCAGAATTGGACACAATATTCCAGATGTGGTCTAACCAAAGCAGAATAGAGGGGTAGCATTAATTCCCTGGATCTAGACACTATGCTCCTCTTGATGCAGACCAAAATCTCACTGGCTTTTTTTGCAACCACATCACATTCCTGGCTCATGTTTAACTTGTTGTCCATGAGGACTCCAAGATCTTTTTCACACTTACTGCTCTCAAGCCAGGCATCTTCCCCCATTCTGTATCTTTGCATTTCGTTCTTTTCTGCCTAAGTGGAATATCTTGTATTTGTCACTGTTGAACTGCATTTTGTTAGTTTTGGCCCATCTGCTCTGGCCCATCTTGGTCAATTCTCTCCTCCCAAGAAGTAAACGTCTTCTGATTTCCTGGCTGCACAAAATGGTATTTGACTCATACGTCATGTTCTTGCAATCCCTTGAGATCATATCTGCTTAAAGGATGCCTCTGAAAATACTGATTCCTGTCCCAGATTCCGCGAAGCAAATGTTTTGTCTGACTAACCTCTAAGTGATGTCCAGAGACAGACTCTAAACACGTAATGTCTAATTTTTCGTGTTGGAATGTTCTTCTAAGGGCCTGTGTATTTAATTCTAGGGTAGGAATTAAAATGTACCAAACAGGAGGAGGGGCTGGTCCTGTCAGTCTTGACGAGCAATTTACACACGAGTGACTTTCCCAGGCCAGTTTGCCTGATCTGGTTTTACCTGCATACTTAGCAGCTGCCTGACTTCCTCTTCCAGTTCTTTGACTCTGGCTTCTCGCTCGGCGACGATCTGCTTGAGCTGATCGATGAGGCAGTTTTGCTTCTGAAGCTCCACATTAACCTGCATCCCCAGGCTTTGGCGGCAGTCTTTGTTCCGCTCGTCCTGCTGACTCAAGTTCTTCAAGATGATTTGCATTTCCTTCTGCTGGTTCTGGCAAAGCAACGAAAAACAGGCATGTGGGACACTTGGTTTTAAATATACACATGATTCATTCAGAGGGAATGAAGACAGCCAATTCAGCCTAAAGCAAGGGACATGCACAGTTTTGGGAGAATAGATAAATACAGCACCAGTTTCAATGCTGCAAAGGAAATGCATCAACCAGAATGCATATCTGGGACAAGCTCTTTCATGTTAAGTAACTCAGCAATAAATCAAGCATTCATTGGAGGTACCTAGCCTGCAATACAGGATCTTCAGCATTTATCCATCACAACATTTTAAACTGGTTACAAATAATAATATAATATAATATTACATATAATAAGTTAATAATATAATAATATGCAAATATGAGTATTCATTTATTTGCATATTTATCAAAAAGTACAATAACAGACATCTATATGCATGTATATATACATAAATAAATGCAATACTTCCTAACTATTTATTTATTTGCATATTTATCAAAAAGTGCAATATAGACATCTATATGCATGTATATAAACATAAACAAATACAATACTTCCTAACTTTTTATTTATTTGCATATTTATCAAAAAGTGCAATAATAGACATCTATATGCATGTATATAGACATAAACAAATGCAAAATTTCCTAACTATTCGTTTATTTACATATTTTTCAAAAAGTACAATAATAGACATCTATATGCATGTATATATACATAAACAAATGCAATACTTCCTAACTTTTTATTTATTTACATATTTATCAAAAAGCACAATAACAGACATCTATATGCATGTATATATACATAAACAAATGCAACACTTCCTAACTTTTTATTTATTTGCATATTTTTCAAAAAGTAGAATAATAGACATCTATATGCATGTTTATATACATAAACAAATACAATATTTCCTAAATTTTATTTATTTGCATATTTACCAAAGTACAATAATAGACATCTATATGCATGTTTATATACATAAACAAATGCAATACTTCCTAACTTTTTATTTATTTGCATATTTATCAAAAAGTGCAATGACAACTATATGCATGTTTATATACATAAACAAATGCAATACTGCCTAACTTTTTATTTATTTGCATATTTATCAAAAAGTACAATAATAGACATCTATATGCATGTATCTATATACACATAAACAAATGCAATATTTCCTAACTTTTATACCTTTAATGATAATTAGGGTTGTGCACAGATCTATTTTTTAAAATTGGCTTTGGCTCTTTTGGACAGCCATAACAGCATGGGCTCCACCGCCATTTTTCCCCCAACCACAACAGACCACATGGCTGCTGAAAATGGTTGCTTTCAGTTTTTTTTCAGTGTGGGGAGGAAGGCAGCCATGCGTGTATAGGTTTCCCTGTGAAATTGTGAGCCCTGCTGCCTGACAGAGCCAATCAGAAGAAGAAAGCTACAAGGATTTAAGGCAGGGGTCCCCAAACTTTTTAAACAGAGGGCCAGGTCACAGTCCCTCAAACTGTTGGAGGGCCGGTTTCTAATTTGAAATAAAACATGAGTGAATTCCTATGCACACTGCACATACCTTATTTGTAGTGCAAAAAACCACTTGAAATCAATACAATAATTAAAATGAAGAACTATTTTAACAAATATATACTTATTAGTTTTTCAGTGAGAAGTGTGGACCTGCTTTTGGCTGATGAGATGGTATTGTTATTGTTGTTGTGAGCTTTCAAGTCGTTTCAGACTTAGGTTGTTTATAGGGTTTGGAACAAGGGGAGACCACACCTGGAATATTGTGTCCAATTCTGGGCACCACAATTCAAGAGAGATATTGACAAGCTGGACTGTGTCCAGAGGAGAGCGACTAAAATGATAAAAGGTCTGGAGAACAAGCCCTATGAGGAGTGGCTTAAGGAGCTGGGCATGTTTAGCCTGAAGAAGAGAAGGCTGAGAGGGGATATGATAGCCATGTATAAATATGTGAGAGGAAGCCACAGGGAGGAGGGAGCAAGCTTGTTTTCTGCTTCCTGGAGACTAGGACGCATGGAACAATGGCTTCAAACTACAAGAGAGGAGATTCCATCTGAACATGAGGAAGACCTTCCTGACTGTGAGAGCCGTTCAGCAGTGGAACTCTCTGCCCCGGAGTGTGGTGGAGGCTCCTTCTTTGGAAGCTTTTAAACAGAGGCTGGATGGCCATCTGTCAGGGGTGATTTGAATGCAATATTCCTGCTTCTTGGCAGGGGGTTGGACTGGATGGCGCATGAGGTCTCTTCCAACTCTTTGATTCTATGATTCTATGATCTGTCCCTTGGTTTGAGGACCCCTGATTTAAGGGGTAAGGATTGCTGAAAGGATGATTTCTCAAGCCTGTTGCCTTAAACCCAGGACTCATTGAAGGGTATAAAAGGAAAGGATCCCAGAAAGGGTGGTTTCTTTAGTCCAATGGCCTAAAAATGATGGAAAGGGGAGCCTCGTAAGTTCCCCAATATTGCCAATGGGCTGGATATTTCAGATTTTTCAGTTTCTGAGCCAAAAATGGCTTTTTTCCGTTAGTCGATTTTGGGAGGTTTCTGGAAATGGATGTGGGTGCACAATGAAATTTGGATACCAAAAACGGATCGCGATCCAGCTGAATTGCACAACCCTAATGATAATATAATATAAGAAATATAAATCATTATTTTATTTTTAAAATTTACATATTTATCAAAAAGGCAACATTAAAAATCTATGCACTTGTGTGTATGGCAAATAAATTTCCCCTTTATTTCCCTTAGTAAATAAAGAACCCAAGGCTATGTGTATGAAACAAATACATTTTGTGTTTAGACTTGGGTCCCATCTCAAAAATATTATTATTATTATTATTATTATTATTATTATTATTATTAACTTTATTTATACCCCGCAAAATCTCCCGAAGGACTCGATGCTGCTTACAAAGGCCAAGGCCACCGACAAACAACAACATACATATCTCATTATGTATATGTAAAAATTCCAAAATCCAGAAATAAATCAGAAAAACAAAACACCTCTGGTATCAAAAATTTTGGTTATTGGATATTTAACCTATATATATATAGGTTAAATAGGGCTCCACAGCCACATAGGGACCCACAAGAACTCTGGAAGACAATCCTCCTCAGAAAACAAGGGATTGCCTAAGTAAAATAAGTATATATAAAAGTTTAGACCACCCAGAAACAACCAACACTGAATCTCTTTAGAGTGAAGCACCAGTCTGAGCCTACCAGTAAAGCATCGATGAGTTCGTCGTCATGCTTCCCTTTGTCTAACAAGGTTGCGTTTTGCTCCTTCAGGGTTTTTACTTCATTGGCCAGGACTTTGTTCCTAGATTTGACCCCATCCAACTTCTTTTTCACCTCTTCATGGTCCTTCTGGAGGGCATTGTGTTCATTGGTCAGTTTCTGCAGTTCCATGAAGACAGAAAATGAAAAACAATATTTCTAATTAAGTCTACAAAAATACTGTTTTCCAGCCATGTGTTTTTAGAGCAGTGGTTCCCAATCTTTTTTTTTTATTTATCTGGAACCATTTAACCAAGGACCACTTTGACCAGGGACCACTTGACCAGGAAATACTTGGCCAGGGACCACTTGACCAGGAACTACTTGACCAGGAAATACTTGACCAGGGACCACTTTGACCAGGGACCACTTGACCAGGAAATACTTGGCCAGGGACCACTTGACCAGGAACTACTTGACCAGGAAATACTTGACCAGGGACCACTTTGACCAGGGACCACTTGACCAGGAAATACTTGACCAGGGACCACTTTGACCAGGGACCACTTGACCAGGAAATACTTGACCAGGGACCACTTTGACCAGGGACCACTTGACCAGGAAATACTTGACCAAGGACCACTTTGACCAGGGACCACTTGACCAGGAAATACTTGACCAGGAACTACTTGACCAGGGACCACTTTGACCAGGAGCCACTCTCCAACATTAGTACCAAAAGGGTTACGAATCAGTCAGGTCAACTTTAGATTCGGTTTGGGGTGCTGATTTAGAAAATTGCATTGGCTGGACCACATCAGCTCTAGTTTCGGATACAGAACCTATTCCACGGTCAGCAACAGGGAAAGAGTGGCAGGCAGTGCAAAAGGAATGGAAACAAAACAAAACAAAACAAATAAGGAGGAAAGAGGCTCGCAGACCAGATTTTCGTCTTTGCAGCCCACTGGTGGTCCGTGGCTCACAGGTTAAGAACCACTGCTTTGGAGATTTCCTTCTTGGTCGAGAGGCCAAGCTCCTTGATCCAAACAGGACTCCTTATTCCCTCGCCTCACTTCCTTACCTCCAGAGCTTCTTTTTTCTCTCGTTCCAAGCTCCGGATCCGCTGTAGATTCTTCTCTTGGGCAGATTCCTTCCGTGAATCTGTAAGGTTTAATGCTTCGTCCCCGCAGCCATTTTCAGACAGCCTGTTTTTGCTGAGGCCCAACTGGCTCTCTAGCTCCCGGACCTGGAAGGGAATGGGAAGGATATTCAGAAGGCTTGGCTGAGTATTGACTGCTCCTCTTGAATGGGAAGGCAGTATCTGATCCTGGGAAAAGGGTCACCTTGGATGAGCATATGAGGCCCCAAGAGACCCGAAGGGCAACCTTTCTGAAGAAGTATATTTATTTATTTACCATATTTGTATACTGCCTTTCTCAGCCCGGAGGTGACAAGGCAGTTCACAGTCAGCAAAATTTTGATGCCATAACAATTAAAAGACAATTACAACAGTCATAAATACTATTAAAAACATTTAGCATATACTATAAAAAACAGTACAAGGCCAAAAAACATTATCAAAATATCTCCTTTGTTGTTGTTGTTCATTCATTCAGTCGCCTCCGACTCTTTGTGACCTCATGGACCAGCCCACGCCAGAGCTCCCTGTCGGCCGTCACCACCCCCAGCTCCTTCAAGGTCAGTCCAGTCACTTCAAGGATGCCATCCATCCATCTTGCCCTTGGTCGGCCCTCTTCCTTTTACCTTCCACTTTCCCCAGCATAATTGTCTTCTCTAGGCTTTGCTGTCTCCTCATGATGTGGCCAAAGTACTTCAACTTTGTCTCTAGTATCCTTCCCTCCAATGAGCAGTCAGGCTTTATTTCCTGGAGGATGGACTGGTTGGATCTTCTCGCAGTCCAAGGCACTCTCAGAACTTTCCTCCAACACCACAGCTCAAAAGCATCTATCTTCCTTCGCTCAGCCTTCCCTAAGGTCCAGCTCTCACATCCGTAGGTTACTACAGGGAATACCATGGCTTTGACTAGGCAGATCTTTGTTGCCAGTTTTAAATATCTCCTTACCAAAGTCATTATCCTGTTGCATCGTCAGGTCATTCAATGATTTCATGTTTACCAGATTATGCTGCATTAGCAAAAGCTTGTTAAAAAGCCAGGTTTTAACCTTTCTTCAGAAGGTCAGAAGGGAGGGGCCGCTGTTATATCCCTAGGCAGGGCATTCCACAGCTGAGGAGCCACCGCTGAGAAGGCCCTGTCTCTCGTCCCTGCCAAACGCATCTGTGAAGGTGGCAGGACCGAGAACAGGGCCTCCCCAGAAGATCTTAGAGTCCTAGATGGTTCATAAGAAGAGATACGTTCGGATAGGTAAGTGATCTGACACCACTTTAACTGCCATAACAATATTCTATGGAACCCTACAATTGAGGATTGTTGTGACACCAAAGCTCTTTCATAAAGAGAGGCAAAGATCTCACAAAACTTCAAATCTCATAATTCCATAGCATTGTCCCATGGCAGTCAATGTAGTGTCAAACTGCTATCAGTGTGGATACAGTCTTATTTTCAGCTACTTTCCTACATGAGTTTAGTCTTTAAATAGAAGCGAAAATAACTGATTAGAGATACTCAGTTCAGGGTCCAGGAGCATATTCACTAGGTGCACAAGAATCAAGGTAACAATACTCTATTTCCACATTGAGGTCCTCTATTTTTCCTAAATCAAATAATTGGCTAATATTTTATCTTTTTCATCAAACTGAGTTTGTTATCTGTACAAAATTAGTTCTGTTTACAATCTCTTCCATGTCCATTTGGAAGATTGGTGATTCATCCCTTCTGTCTAAAGCAGCTACAACTATTTACTTCTTTAGGCCTGGGTCTCACAATAAGTCTCCTTCCGAAGGAAAAAAACAGGGCATAAATAAACACAACAACAACAATACAGAAAATGTCTTTACTGTTTTAAAACTGTCAGAACAAAGATGGGAACTTGCAAGACTGGAAGTCTGGGACAAACTGTGGTGTAGGATGCTGAGAATTGTGGTTCAACAACCACAATGAGTTCTGAACATTTCCCATACCCAGAGTATCTCGTGCCTAATTAACTCAAATGAGCAAATTAAACCTGCACATGGCTCTTTAGTCAATGACTTGTTGATCTGATCTCGCTAAAATTTCCTCAGTTCATCAAGGAAGCGGATTCTTGGCACGAGTGAAATGAAACACAGAGAAGAAGGGAGAATCGAAGGCGGCAACTCACTCACTTTGCCTTGCAGGACCAGGATCCGCTGAGCCCGTCCACGCCAGGTACCCGGTGTGGTCAACAGGTTCTGAACGTCAACATCTTCTCCAACTTCATTTGCTAAAAGCTGTAGATGAAATGTAATGTAATTTGGCAATGCAATCTGGCAAGGGAGAGTTTGATGTTTTGATTTAGGTGTTGCAGCAATAAGCACCAACACCTTTCTTAACAAACTTTTTATAAGGCCACTAGCCGTCCCCTGCCCCGTATTGCTGTGGCCCACTCTGGTGGTCATGGGGGTTCTGTGTGGGAGTTTTGGACCAATTCTATCGTTGGTGGGGTTCAGAATGCTCTGTGATTGTGAGTGAACTATAAATCCCAGCAACTACAACTCCCAAATGTCAAGATTCTATTTTCTCCAAACTCCACCAGTGTTCACATTTAGGCATATTGAGTATTCATGTAGAGTTTGGTCCAGATCCATCATTGTTTGAGTCCACAGTGATCTCTGATGTAGGTGAACTACAACTCCAAAACCAAAGGACACTGCCCACCAAACCCTTCCAGTATTTTCTGTTGGTCATGGGAGAACTGTGTGGCAAGTTTGGTTCAATTCCATCGTTGGTGGGGTTCAGAATGCTCTTTGATTGTAGGTGAACTATAAATCCCAGCAACTACAACTCCCAAATGACAAAATCATTTTTTTGAGTGAAGGACATACATTGGGTTGTTAGGTGTCTTGTGTCCAAATTTGGTGTCAATCCGTCCAGTGGTTTTTGAGTTCTGTGAATCCCACAAACGAACATTACATTTTTATTTATATAGAAAACAAGTCCAATTTAGCTTATGATCCCATTTTTAGTTTTTATTTCTATTCTAGTTTTCCCTTAGAATTAGGTTGAAAGTTTCTGAATGACTTTATAAGGCATATCAGTATTTCAGCCAAGATAAGCAGAAAACCACAGCATTTGGGTTATGAATATCTGAGGGTTATGAATATCTTAGTGATACATTTTAGATTTTGGATTCCAAAAGTACCACTTTTGTAACTCCTCAACAGATGGCAGTACTGGTATGCGGCAGGTACTGGCTTGTTCAGTAGACTCTCCTCTACAGTTCCATTTTGGCAGGAAAGCCTTAGCAGAAAAAGTAATGGCACCACCTTGCGAAGTATGGAACCCTGTGCAGACAGTCGGTCAATGTGACTTAAGCAACGTGCAGTCATTGAATTCTTGACAGCAGAAGGTGTCACCCCAAAGGAGATTCATCAGAGAATGCAAGCTGTTTATGGTGATTGTGTTGATGTGGGTACTATGCATCGTTTGGCGAGTAAGTTTAAAGATGTTGAGGTGGGAACATCTGACTTGTGTGACAAACAAAGAGTTGGACGTCCTGTGACAGCAACCACCAAGTTTCACAAGCAAGAGGTTGACAGATGGATTCAGGACGATCATCGTATCACTCAGAGAGAAATTTCAAGCATAATCGGCATTTCACAAGAACATGTGGGTCACATTATTGCTTTGCTTGGCTATCGGAAGATCGGTGCACGATGGGTACCCAGGATGCTGACGCCTGAAATGAAAGAGCACAGACATGAAACTTCAGAGACTGGATCTCATGCCGTACAGTCCAGATTTAGCACCCTCTGACTTCCATCTGTTCTTGGTAATGAAAGAAGATCTGTGGGGACATAATTATGCTTCTGATTAAGATGTTGAGAGAACTATGAGACGCTGGTTGTGGAAACAGGGTGTCAACTGGGTTGTTGTAGGTTTTTTCGGGCTATATGGCCATGGTCTAGAGGCATTCTCTCCTGACGTTTTGCCTGCATCTATGGCAAGCATCCTCAGAGGTAGTGAGGTCTGTTGGAACTAGGAAAAGGGTTTATATATCTGTGGAATGACCAGGGTGAGACAAAGGACTCTTGTCTGCTGGAGCTAGGTGTGAATGTTTCAACTGACCACCTTGATTAGCATATAATGGCCTGACAGTACCTAGAGCAAACTTTTGTTGAGAGGTGATTAGATGTCCTTGTTTGTTTCCTCTCTGTTGTTGTGCTGTTGTAATTTTAGAGTTTTTTTTAATACTGGTAGCCAGATTTTGTTCATTTTCATGGTTTCCTCCTTTCTGTTGAAATTGTCCACATGTTTGTGTATTTCAGTGGCTTCTCTGTGTAGTCTGACATAGAATCATAGAATCAAAGAGTTGGAAGAGACCTCATGGGCCATCCAGTCCAATCCCCTGCCAAGAAGCAGGAATATTGCAGGACATAGTGGACGAGGTGGTTGTGGACATGGTGGACATGGTGGTTGTGAGAGTGATCCAGCATTTCTGTGTTCTCAAATAAAAGGGTTTCGACTTCTTCCGTGACGGCTTCAGAAAACTTATTCATCGTTGGCAGAAATGTATCCAATTGTCTGGTGATTATGTGGAAAAGTGAATAGTGATAGTTAAAGAGCACATTCTAAGGATTATTTCTGCGTTTGATTTATTAAAATATTCCCATCCAAACCCAAGTAACGAAGGTGGAGGCATTACTTTTCATTCAACCCTCGTACAACACATAGACCTCTGACTCCAACACATCACTTTTTCTTTCTTTCTTGTGTATGATTTTTTAAACACCTTGATCTTAGTTGACGGCATATATGGACACAACAGATCACAGAGCAATTCCTACCTTCTGTGTCATCTTCAGCTCCTGCTTGGTGGTCTGGAGCTGGTTGCGGTATTCGGAAACTTTGAGGTTGGCTGCTGTCAACTTTTCTAGCAAGGCTTTTGCCTCTGGGCTCTTGGGGTTGAAGGGTATTAAGAAGAGTGCAGTTATTTGAGGAGTAATAGCAAATGAAGACTTTTGATTTATTGGTAGTGTTCATATATCATCATCATCATCATCCTCTGGGAGCAAACCAAGAATGGGCAACTTGGAAGTCCCTGAACAGACTCAGAAGTGGAGTGGGCAGATTAAAAGACAACCTGGCAAAATGGCACTACCTAAAACAATCCCAACCTTATGTGACTGTGGAGCAGAACAGACAACTCCGCATCTGTATGCTTGTCCACTATGCCCTGCCTCATGTACAGAGGAAGAATTGTTGGAGGCTACAGACAATGCCGTTGCTGTTGCCCGTTTTTGGTCAAAAGATATTTAGCCGCCTGCGCTCCTTCTATTTTTATCAGTTTTATACTAATTTATGCAATGCTTTTGATACGAAATAAAAATAAATCTCTAGAAGTAGAATATTAAATACATAAGTATATTTTTAAAAACAAACTAAAAGCATTCGTAATATGAGAGGACAATATCTGAAAGAGGAACTTTCAGAAACTTCATAAAGGGCCTATCTTTCTCTGATTGGCTGGTTTTCCTCCTCCATAACAGAACCCGGAAAAATTGTGAGGCCTTCTAGGAAAGAATATGGCACCCATTCTATCCATGGTCCACAAAATGTTGCTCTCAATGAGTTCAGAGTCACGCTTACCATAGATGCATCTGCTGTTTTACGAGCTGGTTGACTGTCTTTGTCTCCATGTGGCTGCACCTTGACAAGTGTTGTTTGCAACTAGGAAAAAAAACCCCACATTATTTATATGGATTACACTATGTAACACAATTTTTGTATTGTCGAAGGCTTTCATGGCCGGAATCACTGGGTTGTTGTAGGTTTTTTCGGGCTATATGGCCATGTTTTAGAGGCATTCTCTCCTGACGTTTCGCCTGCATCTATGGCAAGCATCCTCAGAGGTAGTGAGGTCTGTTGGAACTAGGAAAAAGGGTTTATATATCTGTGGAATGACCAGGGTGGGACAAAGGACTCTTGTCTGCTGGAGCTAGGTGTGAATGTTTCAACTGACCACCTTGATTAGCATTTGATGGCCTGGCAGTGCCTGGGCAATCCTTTGTTGAGAGGTGATTAGATGTCCTTGATTGTTTCCCCTCTGTTGTTTTGCTGTTGTACTTTTAGAGTTTTTTAACACTGGTAGCCAGATTTTGTTCATTTTCATGGTTTCCTCCTTTCTGTTGAAATTGTCCACATGCTTGTGGATTTCAATGGATTCTCTGTGTAGTCTGACATGGTGGTTGTTAGATTTTTGTTCCTAAGTTATAAATGTCATTTTCTAATAGTAGCACAGCGGATTAAACCACCAGCTGTAGGAAATCTGTTGACGAGGAGGTTGGCAGTTCGAAGCAGTGAATCAGGGTGAGCTCTTGACTGTCAGCCATAATTCCTCAGGCCTAGCAGCTCGAAAGCATGCAATGCAAGTAGATCAATAAGTACTGACTCAGAAGGAAGGTAAAAGGGTGCCCCATGCAGATATGCAGATATGCAGACATGCCAGCAACACAATCGGAGATGCTATGGACAACAGGCTCCTCAGCATGAAAACAAATTGAACAAGAGCACCTCCCCATGGCTGGAGTTGAGCATTGCCTCCAAACACCGGAGATGGAAAAAAGGGGAAGGCCTTTACCTTTGTCTGTGTTGTCTGTAGTTGTTCACTGTGTGAAAAGGCATTGAATGTTTGCCTCAAATGTGTCAGCTCTGAGTCCCTCTGGGGAATAAAGCAGGATATAAATACCATGCAGCTGTGGACAAGTCTACATAGGGACCACCAAACGCAGCAGCATTGCCCAAACACAAATCAAGGAACATGAAAGGCACTGCAGACTACTTCAACCAGAGAAGTCAGCCATAGCAGAGCACCTGATGAACCAACCTGGACACAGCATATTATTTGAGAACACAGAAATGCTGGACCACACCAACAACCACCATGTCAGACTACACAGAGAAGCCACTGAAATCCACAAGCATGTGGACAATTTCAACAGAAAGGAAGAGACCATGAAAATGAACAAAATCTGGCTACCAGTATTAAAAAACTCTAAAATTACAACAGCAAAACAGCAGAGAGGAAACAACCAGGCACATCTTAACACCGCTCAACAAAAGATTTTCCCAGGCTCAGCCAGGCCTTCAAATGCTAATGAAGGTGGTCAGTTGAAACATTCACACCTAGCTCCAGCAGAGAAGAGCTCTTTGCCCCACCCCAGCCATTCCACAGATATAAACCCATTGTCCTATTCCAACAGACCTCACTACCTCTGAGGATGGTTGCCATAGATGCAGGCGAAACGTCAGGAGAAATGCCTCTAGAACATGGCCCTATAGCCCGAAAAAACCCACAAGAACCTAGTGATTCCAGCCATGAAAGCCTTTGACAATACATTATAAATAAAGTGTATTATTATTATTATTATTATTATTATTATTATTATTATTATTATTATTTTACTGGCACAAAAACACTGTATGACACAGCAAATAATAAATAATAATAAACTTTATTTATACCCCGCCACCATCTCCCCGATGGGGACTCGGAGCGGCTTACATGGGGCCAAGGCCGAGCAACCTATTACATCAAAATAAAACCAAAACATAAACAACAAGCAACATCATCAAAACTACATGGAAAAAAATTACAATAACAAAATAGCATTACAATAAACAACAAATGAGATCTATATGCTGGATTTTGTATCACAAAATCACAAGTTGAACACTTCCCAATTGTTTAGGACTATGTGATGTATTATTATTATTATTATTATTATTATTATTATTATTATTATTATTATTTATTTGAAACACAACAAAATGAGTTGACAGCAAACAAGATCACTCAACTGCTGTTGTATTGAATCACACGTTGGACACTTCCCAATTGTCTAGGACTGTGTGATGTATTAGCAAATAATAATAAGAATTAATAATTAATAAACAATTATTATTATTAATTGGTTCTATCATAAAAACATGGGGAAAGTTTATTAAACTGCAAAAACTCTGTCTTTGCAGGGGGGACATCCTACAGCAGATTTTGCCATAACTTTTTCAATTAATATCTCATCGAGCCTCAACCAGTTCAACATGGTTTGTGCCACAAAAACAGAGTTTCTGGAGAATAACAACTACTTTCAAAATAAGGACTGCACAATTAAAAAAGAAGGAGGAAACCATGAAAATGAACAAAATCTGGCTACCTATATTCAAAAACTCCAAAATCAAGACAGTAAATAAGGAACAACACTAAAAAAAACAGGCGAATTACAGAGAAGAAACCATTGGGGCCAGCTAACAGCTCCCAAAAAGGATGCCTCCAGGCAGCAACAGCCATTCTTTGAAGCTGCAAGGCCATTCAATGATAATCAAGGTGGCCAACTGCAACATTCACATTTGCCTCCAACTAGAGGATGCTCCCAGGCAGCAATAGCCAGGCTTTGAACCTGCAAGGCCATTCAATGATAATCAAGGTGCCCAGTTGCGCACTTGCCTCCAACTAGAGGATGCCTCCAGGCAGCAACAGCCAGGCTTTGAAGCTGCAAGCCCATTCAATGATAATCAAAGTGGCCAAGTGCAACATTAACAGTTGCCTCCAACTTGAGGATGCCTCCAGGCAGCAACAGCAAGGCTTTGAAGCTGCAAGGCCATTCAATGATAATCAAGGTGCCCAATTGCAACATTCACACTTTCCTCCAACTAGAGGATGCCTCCAGGCAGCAACAGCCAGGTGTTGAAGCTGCAAGGCCATTCAATGATAATCAAGATGGCCAATTGCAACATTCACACTTGCCTTCAACAGAGGATGCCTCCAGGCAGCAACAGTCAGGCTTTGAAGCTGCAAGGCCATTCAATGATAATCAAGGTGGCCAATTGCAATATTCACACTTGCCTCCAACAGACAAGAGTTCTTTCTCCCACCCTGGACATCATTTCACAGATATATAAACCTCACTTGCCTAGTTTCCAACAGACCTCACAACCTCTGAGGATGCCTGCCATAGATGCAGGTGAAACATCAGGAGAGAATGCTTCTGGAACATGGCCATACAGCCCAAAAAACTCACAGCAACCCAGGAAAGAATACTTTAAAACCAGGAACAGAAAATGTTTCAAATTTTGTTACATGGTGTTATTAACTGAAAGCCAAGTTTACAACACAATTATAACTATTGTAACAATAATCATGTGAGAGTATTTACAAAACATGTGAACAGACACGAGAGACAAATGCAGCATCGTCTTGAGTCCGGCAATTACAATATATCATTAGGCTGGGAAGAACTAGGAAGGTGAACAGCAATAAGAAATAACACAAAATCCACTAAGTTCTTGTGGGTTTTTTCGGGCTATATGGCCATGTTCTAGAGGCATTTCTCCTGACTTTTCGCCTGCATCTATGGCAAGCATCCTCAGAGGTAGTGAGGTCTGTGAAAATGAATAAAATCTGGCTACCAGTATTAAAAAAAACTCTAAAATTACAACAGCAAAACAGCAGAGAGGAAACAACCAGGCACATCTTAACACCTCTCAACAAAACATTTTCCCAGGCTCAGCCAGGCCTTCAAATTCTAATGAAGGTGGTCAGTTGAAACATTCACACCTAGCTCCAGCAAGGAAGAGCTCCTTGCCCCACCCCAGTCATTCCACGGATATATAAACCCATTGTCCTAATTCCAACAGACCTCACAACCTCTGAGGATGCTTGCCATAGATGCAGGCGAAACGTCAGGAGAAAATGCCTCTAGAACATGGCCATATAGCCCGAAAACCCACAAGAACCTAGTGATTCCAGCCATGAAAGCCTTCAACAATACAAAATCCACTGTTAGGCTTCCCTCTTCCTGCTGAGCTCAGAGATGCAAAGCAGATACGATGTGGATCTTATAGCAAAATCTTTGCAAATGTTCTGTCTTGCTCTGTTATTATCAATCTGAATATATGCAAAACCTTATCGCTCAGAAGGAAGTCTCACTTCTTTTTCCAGCTCTTTAATTCTGTTATTCAGCCGTTTCACTTTGACTCTTTCCTTTTCCACCTCCGCAGTCAAATGCCGGTTCTGTTTTGCCAACTCCACAATTTTCGTTGCTGCGACGTCTCCTGATAAAGCAGACGTGCCTACAAAAGAAAGGGAATAGAGGCATTACCACTATTTATTGTATTTGGGAATTGTTTTGGTTTTTATGATCCAAGTCATGTCATAGCACCGGGATTGTGGCGCAGATGGCTGAGTGTCAACTGCATTAAGATTACTCTGACCAAAAGGTCATGAGTTCGAAGCCAGCCCGGGTTGGAGTGGGTTTCCAACCATTGTGTAGCCTGTTGTCGACCTTTGCAACCCGAAAGACAGTTGCATCTGTCAAGTAGGAAAATTAGGTACCACCTTAAAGTGTGGGGAGGATAAATTAACTAATTTATGAGACCATAAAGAAGCACTCCAGTGGGGAAGCATGCGAGGAATGCGGAGGTACTTCATCAGCATCGCAGATGGACGATGAAAGCGACAGCTCCCCCGGCGGCCAGGAAAAGTTAAATATCCTCTGTGTATGTCTGTATATGTTTGTATGTCAAAAATTGGCATAGAATCAAAGAGTTGGAAGAGACCTCATGGGCCATCCAGTCCAACCCCATTCTGCCAAGAAGCAGGAATATTGCATTCAAATCACCCCTGACAGATGGCCATCCAGCCTCTGCTTAAAAGCTTCCAAAGAAGGAGCCTCCACCACACTCCGGGGCAGAGAGTTCCACTGCTGAACGGCTCTCACAGTCAGGAAATTCTTCCTCATGTTCAGATGGAATCTCCTCTCTTGTAGTTTGAAGCCATTGTTCCGCGTCCTAGTCTCCAAGGAAGCAGAAAACAAGCTTGCTCCCTCCTCCCTGTGGCTTCCTCTCACATATTTATACATGGCTATCATATCTCCTCTCAGCCTTCTCTTCTTCAGGCTAAACATGCCCAGTTCCCTAAGCAGCTCCTCATAGGGCTTGTTCTCCAGACCCTTGATCATTTTAGTCGCCCTCCTCTGGACACATTCCAGCTTGTCAATATCTCTCTTGAATTGTGGTGCCCAGAATTGGACACAATATTCCAGGTGTGGTCTAACCAAAGCAGAATAGAGGGGTAGCTTTACTTCCTTAGATCTAGACACTATGCTCCTATTGATGCAGGCCAAAATCCTCTATGTCTGTATATGTTGTATGTTAAAATTGGCATTGAATGTTTGCCATATATGTGTACACTGTAATCTGCCCTGATTCCTCTGCGGGATGAGAAGGGTGGAATATAAAAGCTGTAAATAATAAATAAATAATAATAGTCTGGTATTTTTTCCCAGAAAAGTAGAAGAATTTGATATTTCCCCCATTTTTCCTTAAGATCTTTCAAAAAGCATGATTCCCCAGAAAGATATTGGTGGTGGTCTCAGGAATGTCAATAAATTAACACGGGCACTTATTTTGCTCTCATCCATTAGAGATTAATTGCCAATTGCTTTTTTCTCGTCACATCAGTCTCTCCTCTGACATCTCATTCTCTTAATTTTTTTCGACCCCATTTACACTGCCATTTAATCCAGTTTCTGAATCCAAATTATCTGCTTTGAACTAGATTATGGTGGCAGTGTAGACTCATCTAATCAAGTTCAAAGCAGACAACCTGGCTTCCAAAACGTGATTGTATTGCAGCATAGATCCAGGCTAAATAAAGCATGCTTTCGCCAAATTTCTTGCTTGGCTTACTTTTCTAGAGGATGTATTTATTGCCATTTTATATTGCTATGCATTCACATGTTTTATGTAATTATGATGTTGTTGTTATTGTCTGCGTTTTCAGTTTGTGTTTTTTTGTTTTATTCTGCTGTAATTTGTTGTTTGGGCTTGGCCTCATGTAAGCCGCCCCAAGTCCCCATCGGGAAGATGGTGGTGGGGTCAGGGGCGGCTCAACCCATTACGCAAAGTAAGCATTTGCAGTATAGTTGATTTTGCCCAGGGGTGCTCTTGAGGCGCTCTTGGGGGAAAATAGACCTTGACATATGCGAGTTATAGTTACTGGGATGTATAGTTCACCTACAATCAAAGAGCATTCTGAACTCCACCAATGATGGAATTGAACCAAATATGGCACACAGGACTCCCACGACGAACAGAAAATATATATCAGTGATTGGTTGGGCGGGGTGTGTGTGGCAAAATACTGTTTGCTTACCTGTTGAAAATTATCTAGGGCCACCTTTGGGTGGGGTATAAATAAAGATTATTTATTTATTTATTTGTTTGTTTCCAGCACAGGTTTAGGTAAAGGTAAAGGTTTTCCCCAGACATTAAGTGTCGACTCTGGGGTTGGTGCTCATCTCCATTTCTAAGCCAAAGAGACGGCATTGTCCATAGACACTTCCAAGGTCATGTGGCCAGCATGACTGCATGGAGCGCCATTACCTTCCCACTAGAGCGGTACCTATTGATCTACTCAAATTTGCATGTTTTTGAACTGCTAGATTGGCAGAAGCTGGGGCTACCAGCAGGAGCTCGAGCCACTCCATTGATTCAAACCTGCGACCTTTTGGTCAACATGTTTAACAGCTCAGCAGTTTAACCCACCGCACCACCGGGGACTTTCATAGTGCAGGTTTAACATCTTTTAAATACATCCAACCTTTTTTTGTATTGGGTTCTCCGTTGCTCTCAAGTTATATATACAAGATCCATTTGCCACTTGTTGTTTTGTGGTTCTGGCAGAGCATACAAAAAACTAAGAAGTGGGGCAGTGGCCTATAAAGCATTGCTGTTCAGTTTACCCATCAGAGCCATTCTTTCCTCCTGTATTTTCATTTGGAGTTGCTTGATTTCAAACTCTCGTTCCTTCAGCAGTTTATGGAGCCTGCCGTTTTCATCAACAGTTTCACGGAGTTGGTTCTGGAGCTGCTCATTTTCATTTTCAAGTAACCTAAAGGAAAAAAAATACACATTTTTATATAAAACTGGATATACGTGGTTGGTGCTGTTCCGACCCAGTAAAATGCCATTAAAAGAGAGAGTGAAGGGGGACTTGAGGCTGTAGACCATTGAAAGAATAGTTTGTTTATTTATTTATTTACATGATTTATATTCTGCCCTTCTCACCCCACAGGTGACTCAGGGTGGATCACAATGCACATATACATGGCAATCATGCAATGCAATAGACACACAACATATATAGACAGACACACAGAGGAAGGAGGAAGTCCTGGCGTTTCTACGTCATCGAGGATAGAGCAATAGTATCCCCTGGACCTTCTATGGTATCAAAAACTGGGCACTGAATTGAAACAAACCACCTCCTTCTGTTCTGTATGTCTGTGTATTGTTTAGACAAAGTGGCATTGAATGTTTGCTGTGTATATGTACTGTGATCTGGCCTGAGTCTGGGGTGAGAAGAGCGGAATATAAATAAAGTGTTATAATAATAATAATAATTTGAAACACAACAAGATGAGTCCACAGCAGACACTCTGCTGGCTGTTGAATTGGATCACAAGTCGGACACTTCCCAAGTGTCTAGGACTGTGTGATGTATCGGCGAATAATGCGTGCAGATCCCAGTAAGGTGGCCTTTTGTAGCTGGCAGATGGCAATTTTGTCAGCGCCGATTGTGTTTAAGTGCAGGCCAAGGTCTTTAGGCACTGCACCCAGCGTGCCCATCATGACTGGGACCATTATTATTATTATTATTATTATTATTATTATTATTATTATTGTATTGTTTTTTCCCCAAAGAAAGCTCAAAGCAGCTAATATGAAAAACCAATGTGTAAGTCATAGCGGAAGCATCCACACATTAAAACAGAATGTTCCACCCTGAGCTAATATTAGTCCTGGAATTCTGCATCTGATCACAGGGATGCAGTTAGTCATCGCAACACTATGTGACATGATATTTGCTTGTGGGTTATAGATGTCATTTCCTCATTGGTTCTCTCATAAAAACATGGAAAAGGTTTATTAAAATTTATCTTTGCAGAAGAGACATCCTGCAGCATATTTTGCTCTTGTTTGTCAATGAATATCTCATCGAGTCCCAACCAATTCAACCTAGTTTGTGACAATCACAAAAATAAAAGTTTCTGGAGCAGAATAACAACTTTCAAAGGAAGGACCACACAATTAAACAGGAAATAACAGTTTCAAACCAGGAACAGAATATTGTTTTTTTCAAATTTTAATATATAGTGTAATCTCATTTTAACCATGTTCTTTTTGGGATTTTGGCACATGTCTGAATGATCATGCTTGGTTTTAAGGGCACTGAAAATCAAACAATGATAAATCTATATAATACTAGCTGTCCCCTGCCACACGTTCTGTGGCCCACATGGGGGTTCTGTATGGGAGGTTTGGCCCAATTCTATCATTGGTGGGGTTCAGAATACTCTGTGATTGTAGTTGAACTATAAATCCCAGCAACTACAACTCCCACATGTCAAGATTCTATTTTTCCCAAACTCCACCAATGTTCACATTTGGGCACATTGAGTATTCATATAGAGTTTGGTCCAGATCCATCATTGTTTGAGCCCACAGTGATCTCTGGATATAGGTGAACTACAACTCCGAAAGCAAAGGACATTGCTCACCGAACCCTTCCAGTATTTTCTGTTGGCCATGGGAGAACTGTGTGCCAAGTTTGGTTCAATTCCATCATTTGTGGGGTTCAGAATGCTCTTTGATTGTAGGTGAACTATAAATCCCAGCAACTGCAACTCCCAAATGTCAAGATTCTATTTGCCCCAAACTCCACCAATGTTCACATTTGGGCATATTGAGTATTCATGTAGAGTTTGGTCCAGACCCATCATTGTTTGAGTCCACAGTGATCTCTGGATGTAGGTGAACTACAACTCCAAAACCAAAGGACGTTGCCCACCAATGTGGTTCAGTTCCATCGTTGGTGGGGTTCAGAATGCTCTTTGATTGTAGGTGAACTATAAGTCCCAGCAACTACAACTCCCAAATGACAAAAATCAATTTTTTTGAGTGAAGGACATACATTGGGTTGTTAGGTGTCTTGTGTCCAAAATTGGGGTCAATTCGTCCAGTGGTTTTTGAGTTCTGTTAATCCCACAAACAAACATTACATTTTTATTTATACAGATGCATTGACCGCAGCATAGAATTAATGCAGTTTCATACCACTTTAACTGCCATGGTTACATGCTGTGTAACAGGCATGGCCAAACTTGGGCCCTCCAGGTGTTTTGGACTTCAACTCCCACAATTCCTAACAGCCTACCGGCTGTTAGGAATTGTGGGAGTTGAAGTCCAAAACACCTGGAGGGCCCAAATTTGTCCATGCCCGCTGTGGAGTCTTAGAAGTTGTAGTTTGACAAGTTCCTTAGCATTCTCTGCTTTTCTGTATGGCCAAACCTGTCTTGATTCTTCTTTACCTTTTAAAAGGATCCTCCTTTGGCACTTCACTCTCCTCCAGCATGGATAGGTTGAGGTCGTCTTGGACTCCAAACGTGTCCTGGCTGCTTTCCTTCAGGTTTTGCTGCTTTTCCTTCTTTCTCCCCATCAGAGCCTGCATTCGCTTTTGCTGCTGCTCCTGAAGGGTCTTGAACTGCATTTTTAAATTTTCGATCACTTCTTCGTTATCGTCCATCGTTCACTTCTGGAGAGGGGATTATCGAAAACAACGAATGCAGAATTCAAACATCTCAAGAACAGGGACCACCAAACGCAGCAGCTTTGCCCAAACACGAATCAAGGAACATGAAAGGCATTGCAGACTATTTCAACCAGAGAAATCAGCCATAGCAGAGCACCTGATGAACCAACCTGGACACAGCATATTATTGAGAACACAGAAATGCTGGACCACTCTCACAACCACCATGTCAGGCTACACAGAGGAGCCATTGAAATCCACAAGCATGTGGACAATTTCAACAGAAAGGAGGAAACCATGAAAATGAACAAAATCTGGCTACCAGTATTAAAAAACTCTAAAATTACAACAGCAAAACAACAGAGAGGAAACAATCTGGGACATCTAATCACCTCTCAACAAAAGATTGCCCAGGCACTGTCAGGCCATTATATGCTAATCAAGGTGGTCAGTTGAAACATTCACACCTAGCTCCTGCAGACAAGAGTCCTTTGTCCCACCCTGGTCATTCCACAGATATATAAACCCTTTTTCCTAGTTCCAACAGACCTCACTACCTCTGAGGATGCTTGCCATAGATGCAGGCGAAACGTCAGGAGAGAATGCCTCTAGACCATGGCCATATAGCCCGAAAAAACTACAACAACCCATCTCAAGAACACCTTAAGGCAGGCGTGGGCCAACTTGGGCCTTCCAGGTGTTTTGGACTTCAACTCCCACAATTCGTAACAGCCTAACAAAATCAACCTCTGTATTCATTGACCTTGCAAAAGCATTCGACACAGAGAACCACAGTACTTGGCTGTTGTAGGTTTTTTCGGGCTATATGGCCATGTTCTAGGGCATTCTCTCCTTCAACAAAAGATTGCCCCAGGCACCAACAAGCCACGCCAAACAACTGCCAGGCCATCAAATGCTAATCAAGGTGGTAAGTTGAAACATTCACACCTAGCTCCAGCAGACAAGAGTTCTTTGTCCCACCCTGGTCATTCCACAGATATATAAACCCATTTTCCTAGTTCCAACAGACTTCACTACCCATGAGGATGCTTGCCATAGATGCAGGCGAAACATCAGGAGAGAATGCCTCTAGACTATGGCCATATAGCCCGAAAAAACTACAGCAACCCATCTCAAGAACACCTTAAGGCAGGCATGGGCCAACTTCGGCCCTCCAGGTGTTTTGGACTTCAACTCCCACAATTCGTAACAGCCTAACAAAATCAACCTCTGTATTCATTGACCTTGCAAAGGCATTCAACACAGAGAACCACAGTACTTGGTTGCTGTAGGTTTTTTGGGGGTATATGGTCATGTTCTAGAGGTATTCTCTCCTGACGTTTCGCCTGCATCTATGGCAAACATCCGCAAGGACATCTAATCATCCTTCAACAAAAGATTGCCCCAGGCACCAACAAGCCATACCAAACAACTGTCAGGCCATCAAATGCTAATCAAGGTGGTCAGTTGAAACATTCACACCTAGCTCCAGCAGACAAGAGTCCTTTGTCCCACCCTGGTCATTCCACAGATATATAAACCCATTTTCCTAGTTCCAACAGACTTCACTACCTCTGAGGATGCTTGCCATAGATGCAGGCGAAATGTCAGGAGAGAATGCCTCTAGAACAGGGGTCCTCAAAGGATTGTTTGAGGATTAGGACATCTGTAGGGAGACCAAGGTGCTTGATTATAAAGTGACTAGCCGTTGCTGTGGCCTACCTTCCCTCCCTCTTTTTCTCCTTTCCCCCCTTCCTTGCTCCCTCTTTCCTTCCTTCATTTCCTTTTCTTTCCTTCTCTCCTTCCTTCCTTCCTTCCTTCCTTCCTTCCTTCCTTCCTTTTCCTTTTCTTTCCTTCTCTTTCTCTTCTCTTTCCTCTCCTCTTTTCCATCCTTCCTTCTCTCTTTCTCTTCCTTCCCTCCCCTCTTTTTCTCTCTTTCCCCTTCCTTTGCTCCCTCTTTTCTTCCCTTATTTTCCTTCCTTCCTCCTTCCTTCCTTCCTTCCTTCCTTCCTTCCTTCCTTCTTCCTTCCTTCCTTCCTTCCTTCCTTCCTTCTTCCTTCTGCTTTCTCTCCTTCCTTCCTTCTCTACCTTTCCTTCCTTCCCTCCCCCTTCTTCCTTTCCTTCTGCTTTCTCTCCCTCCTTCCTTCTCTACCTTTCCTTCCTTCTTTCCCCTTCTTCCTTTCCTTCTGCTTTCTCTCCCTCCTTCCTTCTCTACCTTTCCTTCCTTCCCCCATCTTCCTTTCCTTCTGCTTTCTCTCCATCCTTCCTTCTCTACCTTTCCTTCCTTCCCCCTTCTTCCTTTCCTTCTGCTTTCTCTCCTTTCTTCCTTCTCTTCCTACCTCTCCTGCCTTTCTTCCTTCTCTCCCTACCTCTTTCCTCTCTTCCTTCACTCTTTGCTTCCTTCTCTTTTTCCTTCTTCCTTCACTCCCTTTTTCTTTTCTTTTCTTTTCTTTTCATTCTTTCTCCCCTTCCTTCCCTCCCTCTTCCTTCTCTTTTTTCTGTTTTGTCATTTAGCTTTTTGGAATTTTTAAGTCCTTTCCACTGTTTAATTTTTTTTGGGGGGTAGGGTGGATGAGTGATGCTCACTCGTTGGCCTGATAGGTGTCTTGTGACCAAATTGGGTGTCAATTCCTCCAGTGGTTTTTCAATTATGTTAATCCCACAAACCAACATTACATTTTTATTTATATAAATAGATTGTCTTCCCATCCCTGTTATACGCCTGTGAAACATGGACTGTCTACAAACATCACATTCAACTCCTGGAACGATTCCATCCGCGTTGCATCCAGAAAATCCTGCAAATCTCTTGGGAAGAAGATGGGCGGACAAATGTCAGCGTGCTGGAAGAAGCAAAGACCACCAGCATTGAAGCGATGCTCCTACATCACCAACTCTGCTGGACCGAATGCCACATTATCCAAATGCCAGATGACAAAGCAGTTACTTTCCTCCAAACTCAAGAACGGAAAACGGTATGTTGGTGGACAGGAAAAGAGATTGAAAGATGGGCTTAAAGCCAACCTCAAAAGCTGTGGAATAGATGCTGAGAACTGGGAAGCCCTGACCCTTGAGTGCTTGAACTGGAGGTCAGCTGTGACCAGCAGTGCTGTGGAATTCAAAGAGGTACAAATAGAGAGCGAAAAGGAGAAACATGCCAAGAAGAAGGTGCGTCAAGCCAACCCTGACTGGGACCACCTTCCACCTGGAAACTGATGCCCTCACTGCAGGAGAAGATGCAGATCAAGAATAGGGCTCCACAGTCACCTACAGACCCACTGACAGGATACTACCCTTGGGGGACTACGAGGGATCGCCTAAGTAAGTAAGTAATAGCCATACAGCCCGAAAAACCTACAACAACCTGAAGCAGAGAGTGTTTGAGGACTGGGACATCTGTAGGGAGACCAAGGTGCTTGTTTATAAAGTTATTGTCTTCCCATCCCTGTTATATGCCTGCGAAACGTGGACTGTCTACAGACAGCACGCTCAACTCCTGGAATGATTCCAGAAAATCCTGCAAATCTCTTGGGAAGAAGATGGGCGGACAAATGTCAGCGTGCTGGAAGAAGCAAAGACCACCAGCATTGAAGCGATGGTCCTCCGCCATCAACTCCGCTGGACCGGCCACATTGTCCGGATGCCTGACCACCGTTTCCCAAAGCAGTTGCTCTATTCCGAACTCAGGAACAGAAATCAGAATGTTGGTAGACAGGAAAAGAGATTTAAAGATGGACTCAAAGCCAACCTTAAAAACTGTGATATAGACACTGAAAACTGGGAGGTCAGCTGCCCTAACTGGAGGTCAGCTGTGACCAGCAGTGCTGTGGATTTTGAAGAGGAACAAATAGAGAGCAAAAAGGAGAAACATGCCAAGAAGAAGGTGCGTCAAGCCAACCCTGACCGGGGCCACCTCCCACTTGGAAACCGATGTCCATTGGGTCAAGAATAGGGCTCTACAGACAGCTATGGACCCATCAGAAAGACACTATACTTGGAAGGCCATCCTACTCATACAACTTAAGTAATAAGTAAGGGGCAGTTACAGAATTTTTCAAAAAGCACCAAAATATTTACCTGGTCATGCTCCCAAGCAACACTTGTTGAAATTTCCTCTTGTCCCACAACCATGAAACGTTGTGTTTTTTCCAGCCTGGAAACTTTATTTGGGGTTTCCTTCCTCTTTTTAGTTGTGCAACTGGGAGAAGTGAGGCCTACAAAGGCTTCCAGCAGCGGCAGAGGCCTCTCCTTGCATCCGCAGCGTCCCCATGGCGACCGTTGCCAAGGGAAACGTCTAGACGCATCCGTCGGTCGCCGGGACACCTTCATGCAAATGGAAAAGCAGGCAGCCCTTTGCTTATATATCTTAAAGCTCTCTCTCTCTCTCTCTCTCTCTCTCTCTCTCTCTCTCTATATATATATATATATATATGTACTAGCCGCTCCCTGCCACGCGTTGCTGTGGCCCAGTTTGATGATCTGGAAAATAAAGTAATGAGAAAGTGTTGGTTTCTAATATATGTAATTTCTTTCTGCTTGTGGGTAAACAATATTTCTTGTTGTTTCTTTGTCAGTATTGATGTGGAGATTGTTTGGTTTGCCTACTCTGGACCATGCAACATAGCATTGTCCTTCTTTAGGAGTCCCTTTCAAATCTATGATACTATATCTCTCTGTGTGTGAATCATATCTATATCTATGGCTGGATGGCTCTCTGTCAGGAGGGCTTTGATTACGTTTTCTTGTCCTGGTGAAGGGAGTTGGACTCGATGGTCATGGGGGTTCTGTGTGGGAAGTTTGCCCCAGTTCTGTCATTGGTGGAATTCAGAATGCTCTTTGATTGTAGGTGAACTATAAATCCCAGTAACTATAACTTCCAAATGTCAAGGTCTATTTCCCTCAAATTCCATCTGTGTTCATATTTGGGCATATGGAGTATTCGTGCCAAGTTTGGTCCAGATCTATCATTGTCTTGAGTCCATAGTGCTCTCTGGATGTAGGTGAACTACAACTCCCAAACTCAAGGTCAATGCACAGCAAACCCTT